CCGTTACAAGTTGTCATGACGAGTAACAGCCAGGGTTCTCGTTTTGCTGGTTGCTACGTGTTTGTGAGGGGGAGGGTGAGTGTTTGAGAGAGGGAAATTCCAGCAGCTTTTAGCACTCAGGTTCTATCAATGTGATGAGGTGAGTTTTGAGTCGACTCAAGAGTCGTTTTGAGTCGACTCAAATGTCACCTTGTAGTGCCCAGGTTTCTATCAATGTCCAGGCAGGGCCGTTTGAGCTTAAGAGAGGGCGTGGCGTGCGGATGTGCATGGGCGTACGGCTGTGCATGGCGTATGCATGTGCATGGGCGTATGGATGTGCATGGGCGTATGGATGTGCATGGGCGTATGGATGTGCATGGGCGTATGGATGTGCATGGGCGTATGGATGTGCATGGGCGTATGGATGCGCAGGGGCGTATGGCTGTGCAGGGGCGTACGGCTGTGCATGGGTGTATGTATGGATGTGCATGGGTGTATGGATGTGCATGGATGTATGGATGTGCACAGTGCATCACCTTTGCATGTCTAAGTAGTTTAGTTTGAGGCGTCTCGAAACTAAACTACTTACACAGAGAGGGTGTGTGGATGTGCATAGTGCATCACCTGTGCGTAGTCCGTTTCTTCCGCCTTTCCACCAGGCGACAGACGCGGGCGCCAAGGAGCAGGAGGCGATCAACTTGGCATGTGCATGTTCAAACATAACATAGGTGTGTGCGGTGGATGCCTCTCCCCCGCCTCTCCCCCTCCCACCGGGCGATGGGGGTGGGCGCCAAGGAGCAGGAGGCAACAAACTTGCCATCTATTTGACCTCAACTAGCTTGTGTACGTGTGCGCTCCTCCCCTCCCCCCTCCCCCACCCCTCTCCCCCCCCGTAGGCCACAGGAGCGGGCGCCAAGGAGCAGGAGGCAACAAACTTTCTGGAGAAGAAGCTCAAGGATGGGAAGCACCAGAACCTCACAGCAGACGAGGCGGTTCAGGTGAGCTAAGCACTGCACAGAACCGCACAGAACCACACAGAAACGCACAGAACCGCACAGCACCACTTCTCACCGCACATCACTTCATGGCACGACATTCCACCGTGCAGCACCAATGAGCATTGGGGAGAAGAAGCTCAAAGATGGGAAGCACCAGAACCTCACAGCAGACAAGGCGGTGCAGGTGAGCGTTGCTCCCTGTAGTACCTCATTATACCGCACTGCACCGTGTCATGGAATGAAGCTCAAGAATGAAAAGCTCCAAAACCTGACAGCAGACGAGGGAGTGCAGTTGAGCGCAGCACCGCAATCCACCACATTTCACCACGCTCCACTGCGTTTCCACGCACAGGCCCACTTGTTGCCTTTCAGCTTGCCATCTCAGCCATGTCAGCCATCTCAGCCAACTCTTTCCCCCTCTCTCTCCCATCCCTCTTCCCATCTCTCCCCCTTCTAGTCGTTCCCTTTCTCCCCCCTTCCCTCTCTCCCTCCCACTCCCCCTCTCCTCTTTACATCTCTCCCCCTCAGCTGGCCATTTCGGCCCTCCAAGGCGTGCTTGTAGAGACCTGGTGCCCTCCAAGGCCCTCAGCGTCAGGACACTTGGTGCACGTTTGCCTTCCTGTCCCTTCTTCCCTTCCCCCCACCCCCGCCCTACTACCTCTCCCCCTCAGCTGGCGATTTCGGCCCTTCAAGGCGTGCTCTCGGAGGACATGAAAGCCACAGAGATCGAGGTGAGGGGGGTGAAGGTGGGTTGCGGTTGAAGTCTAGTTTTGAGGCGCCTCAGTTTTGAAGCGCCTCAAAACTAGATCAATACTTGCTCCGCATCCCCTGTAGGCGGTGTGGGTCCGGTGGAAGGCAGAGTGGGGACAGGTTTGTCGAACACTCCCTGTGGTTTCAATTGCTGTACGAAGCAAGCATTCCTTCGATTCCTTGTGCCCTTGTACTCTACTCTGCCCTTGTGCCCTATTGTGCCCCTATACCCGTGCACTCTTGCACCCTTGTGCCCTATTGTGCTCCTATGCCCGTGCACTCTTGCACCCTTGTGCCCTATTGTGCCCCTATGCCCATGCACTCTTGCACCCGTGTGCCCTATTGCACCCCTATGCCCCTGTGCCCCTGAGCCCCTGTGCCCCTGTGCCCCTGTGCCCCTGTGCCCCTGTGCCCCTGTGCCCCTGTGCCCCTGTGCCCCTGCGCCCCTTTGCCCTTGCGCTCTTGCACCCGTATGCTCCCTCAGGTGGGGTTGGTGGAAGCCAAGGAGGAGACGGCCTTCCGAACACTCATTGTGGATGAGATCGAGGCGCATCTAACGGCTATTAGCGAGCGGGACTAAATGGGTGAAGTGTTGCTGGTGGCCGCTAGCGAATGGGATCAGGACATTAGCTTGGCTTGTATCTAGATCGAACGTTATGTTTTTCATTTGGCTACACAGTGCAGTTATGATGTGGTATCAATCGACACTTCCTGATTGTCTGGCTGTCCATTCGTCCTGATCAAATTTCGTTAGCAAGTTTCTGGTGGTGTGAGTGAAACGTCACGCTAGGAGCTTGCCATGGACTTCATGCTAGACAAGTGGCCAGAGATAAGCCTACAGATTTGACAAAAAAAAATCTCACAGTAGCATCAGATTGGCAAAAATACAGTGCGAGTACCACAATCTGAAGGATTTTGCCAATGATGTACACCTGTTCTTCTATTTAGTCCCATGGTTTTTGCACGCGGCTCAATTCTGTAAGCAGGAAATTGTAAAACACGGGCAAACGGGACTTTGTTGCCCGCGCGACGTTCCAGCTATGAATCTCGCAATTGTTGACATACAACTTGCTAGTTCGTTATCGTTCAGACTGCAGCCAATCAGGTTCAGTGTCAACGCGAGTCATGTTGAGAACCTGGTAGGTGAGATTGCAATTTGGACTGTTAGAGGTGAAACCATAGAGGGTAAAAGGTGTATGCTCACAGGAGGCCGCCTTCGGTGCACCCTACGCTACGACAGATAGAGGGACCGAGGAACAAGCATGCAACCGTCCATAATGACAGACCAACGCAGAGCTGGTGACAGTTGGCCAGACGTGGCCACATTCAAGTGAGACAGACGAGACAGCCCACCTGCCCATTCAAGGCAGGCTGGTGACAAGCACGACGACACGCCTAGGAGACGATTCATTGGTCGTCGGCACGCGGTTTCGGTTCCTGCAAACGCGGTTTCTATGGCATTTCAATCTCGTGCGATCTGCCTAGATCTGAAGAGAAGATGCCAAGTCATGACGGTTTTCTTGGTTGGACCGCCATGCCAATTTTTAAGATTCGAAGATTAGGTTTGGGATCAAACATCAGAATCTGTGGCAGCAACATGGGAAAACAATCATTGTGGGGATGCTCTGAGAAGAAATCATAGAGGGTTTTTTATTATGATTTGAAACCCCAACCCTGCTATTTCCGCAATATATATGGAACTTCAAGGAACGTTTTGGACATTCGATTCTGACAGAGAAAGAAAACTAATTTGTCACAAGTAGAACAGACAAGCGTCCTCCATTGTCTCGGACCAGCGGAAACAATCTGTGGTCGTGCTGAAGCCTGGTTCTGTGCTGCCGCCGATTGAAGCAGCACGCCAACGAATCATCGAGTGCAATCTCATTCCCGGCGATCATATCGTATTTGGCGCCTCGTCACAAAGTTCCTCTTGGATTTCCATCCCATTCCCCAACAGGTGTGCACTGCAGTGGTGCAGAGTACATTTTTGTCGGTAGTGTCGTAGGTTGCCTCAGCTTCTTCGCGCAAAAGTTCGCAAAGCTCCTGGGCGAACATTTGTTAGAGCGTGTCCAGAGTGTTATTTTGCGGATGACGGCGATGACAGCGGATGATAGAACGGATGACAGAAGGAACAAGTAGTTTTGGCGCGTCCAAAGTGCTGTGCAGCGATCCTGGCTGAACGGATGACAAATGGATGACAGAACGGATGACAGGCTACAGCCCAATAAACCGAAACAGCCTGGTCGGGCAGGATAACGGGTCAATGCACGCCAAAATCTACAGTCAATTTTGGCGCCAACGCACGAAAACACGCGTTGCGAAATACAGCTAGGAGCAACCCTCGAAACTCGCACATGCATGCGACACAATGCAATGCTGGCGAATCGCCAACGAAAACGTTTCAGCTGCCTGTTTCGAGGTTGACGAAACCTACGAGGTAGGGCCCGCGAAAACGTAACTTTTTAGTCAAATATTTTGATTTTCGAATTGTCTGCCCGTAGCCGCCCGCAAACGGCACGTGGTGATTGCTTAGACTGTAAGCGTCCAAAGTGCAATTCTCCACTCTCTGTCATCCGCGGATGACAGACCTGTGTCATCCACGGGTGACAGCTCTGTCATCCGCTGTTATCCGTTGGATGACAGAACGGATGACAAATAGCACTTTGGACACGCTCTTATTCGCCTTGATATTTCTGTCAATGCTTTCCATGCAACACTACACGACGAGTGAAGCAAGCTGGCGCCGAATCCGCCTCCCGCAAGCGCTCGCCGTCACACTATGGAGGGATACGGCGCAGCACTGGCAAGCGGAAAGGCTCATTTCGATTCGATTTCCTCCAAACTCAGGATGCAGCGCGGGGGCAGCACTTTCCTCCCGCCCGCCCGCAAACATCAGGCGCAGCGAGATGGCTTCACACACACCGCTCGATCAGCAGTCAACCTGTGGAACAAACGCAGCCGATTGGTTGCTTTCTGTGTGCGGATGTGAACCAGCAGTCACGCGCAAGTCAAATGCGCGTCGTCCCTAAATGCCTGCCTGGCATCACTGAGAGCCAAATCATGGCGCGTGCCTCAGATTCGGTTCCAGTTGTCTCGTTTTCTCTCGGTTCAGATAGTTTTGCCGCGGTATTGCAGACGTTGACGACCAGCGCAACGAAATGTGGCACGGGATGGCTGAGTGGTTAGCACTTGCTCTCCCACTCTCCCTGGGTGGACTGGAGTACGGCAAAGCTAAGGACTGAAAGCAAGGCAAAGCTTTGAACCAAACGCCTGGGTAGGGCACACCGCACCACCACCGTACGAGAGCAGCGAATTGGAGGTCTGCGCATATACAAGGGACGGCGAGAAGCATTTCATTTTTCACCCGACGTAGCGAGTGGTAGAAGTCTGAGTGAGACTGCAGTTTTCATTCCTCCTCACCTCAAATCCTCAAGTCACTATCGCAACGGCAGTCATCTTCGGTTGTAAATTTTATTGCACAGTCATTCTTTGAATACGGTACAATAGCGCACAGTGCAAGAGAGTAATATTAACAACTGAATCAGAAGAGCGTTCGTATTCGACTAGCCCTCAGCCTAGGCACCCAAGTCCTCTCCCTTCGGGAGGAAATGGAGACTCTCAAGCGAGTGAAGCTCGGTCCTAATGAGTTCGCGTATTCGCAGCCCGCATTCTTCGGCGTTCCATCGCTCCAGTGCACCAGCATCCCGAAGCCAGTTCCTTCCTTCGATAAAGCCGGGATTCCAGCGATTTTCGCCGGTGCGGCGCCCCAAGAGCATAGATTTTCGCGCGACGTTCAGCGAGCCGTCGCCGGGGATGGCTGCGACTCAGCGACGCGTCGCACGTGCCACTTCGATCGCGTGCCCGACGAGCTGGTCGCGGAAATCGCGCGCTGCGTCTTCGCCAAAGCGCAATCGGCGGCGGACGTTGCGGGGATGCTCGTGACGTGCCGGCGGTTCAGCGCCGTATGTCATCCCGCCGCGAGCTGGTCGCTTCGCGCCTCGGCCGCCGTCGAAATGCTGCTGCCGGCGGACGCGGCGCGATGGACGGCGGCGTCGCAGCGGCTTCTGCTGAGCGCCGCGGCGGAGGGAAACCTCGAGGCGATTTACGTCGTGGGCATGGTGAGTCGGCATTGCGCGTCTCGTCAGCTCTCCCTATTTTACCCCGATTTTCCGGTCTAATTCCCCCGCAGTGATGGACGCATCCCCCGCGTTCGAACATTTTTTTAACCAACCCGCTTCGTCTGTTCCGTCGCTTCCCGGATCTACCTTGGGTCGAACCTCGCTCACCTTCCCCGCATTCCTTCCGCATTCCTTCCGCCTTCCTCCCCCTTCCTTCCGCAGATCTCCTTCTACTGCCTCAACAACCACTGGGCGGGCGCAAAGCTCCTCGCGCAGGCGGCGGAGGCGGGGCACGGCGCGGCGATGTACTCGCTCGCGATGATCAACTTTCACGGCAGCGGCGGCGCGGCGGAAGACGCCAATCCTGAGGTCGGTGTCGAGCTGAGCTGGCGCGCCGCGCGCCTCGGATTCCTCCCCGCGTTACAGGAGTTAGGGCATTGCTTTCTGGATGGGTATGGCGTCGCGCAGCGGACGTCGCTGGGGCAGCTGCTGCTGCAGCACGCGGCGGCGGGATTGGCGGAAGAGGATCGTCGGAGAAGCGGGACCAGCGGGAAGGTTCAGCCGCGGCGGCGGCGCTCCGCACCCGGCGCTTCTCCCGCTTGCGCGGAATCAGGAGCTGCGGAAGGAAGCGGCCGCTTGCGCCAGCCGGCGCAGGCGCAGGCGCAGCCGGAGGCGCATGTTCCGCAAGGGGGGAAGCGGGGGTTCTGCAGCATGCACCGCTCGCGCAGCTGGCCGCAGTGCTTCGTCTCCAAGCGCGGCGGAGCTTCCGCGCGCGCGCGCAAGTGCGCGGGCGCGAGAGGTGACTGTAACGAAGGCGGTAGCAGGGGTTTGCTGAGAGGAGCCGATGCGGTACTAGGCGCCAGGGAAGGTGAGACGAGGGAGGCACGGGCCGAGGAGGAGACGAAGCGAGGCGGTGACGAGCCAAGGGAAGAGCAGAGAGGGCAGGGGAATTCGCGGGTCGGCGTTATAGAGGGCGCGGAACAATCGCGGCTAGGGCAACAGGCGCAGGCGATGCAGCCGGCGCAGGCGGGCGAGAGAGGCTCGGGGATGGTGACAGGTGATGCAGCCGCCGCACGCTCGCGCTCTCCTGCAGGAGCGACGCGAACCCTAGTTTTCTCGCTCTGTTCAGAGGAGAGAGACGACGAGGAACAGGAGGCGCAGGAGGGGCAGGAGGGGCAGGAGGGGCAGGAGGGGCAGGAGGCGCAGGAGGCGCAGGAGGAGGAAGATGCAATGATAGGAATGATGCTGGAGGGGGATGACGGGGAGGGGCGGTTAGACTGGTGGGGAGTGGAGGGGGCAGAGGACGGGCAGGAAAGCCATCAGCAGAGCCATCAGCAGAGCCAGGGGTTTGGCGCACGCTCTCTGTCGCTCGAGCTGTCCCTGTCCCCCCCATCTGCTTCGAGTCACTCATCAGACGTAAGTGTTACTACTGCTGCTGGGGATGCTGCTGCTGCTGCTGCTGCTGCTGCTGCCGCTCTTGCCAGCATTTTCAGAGGCTGTGGGGTTGGGGGTGACCTGGACGCATGGGGAGGTGATGGGGGTGACCTGGACTCCTGGATGGACTCAGATGGGGATGAGAGTGATGGGGAGGAGGGGCATGAGGAGGATGAGGGGGATGAGGGGGATGAGGGGGAGGAGGAGCAGGAGGAGGAGGAGAGGGAGGAAGGGGGGTTGGCAGAAGCAGTTGCAGCAGGAGAGTTGAGGGGGGGCTCAAGCTACCCAGGTTTCCCTGTAGCGCCCTTCTCCTCTCTCTCCTTCATTCGGCAAAGACTGCCTCTTGCCACCTCTGCTGCTACTGCTGCTGCTGCTGCCGCCCGTCTCAGAAGACCAGCCGGCGCAGCTGTGCCAGCTGTAGCAGCCACGTCAGCAGGGACAGCATCTGCCACAGCCCTCCAGCTGGCGTTTCCCCGGCCGCAGGCTGCTCACCGCGTGCACGATTTCCTCGCCAGCTGGCACGCGCTGCGCTCGCTGCCAGTTGGCAGGCGGTGCTGCGGTAACCCTGCGTGCTGCCGGCCGGAGACGCGGGAGAACGAGTTTAGGAGCTGTGTGCGGTGTGGGAAGGCCAAGTACTGTAGCAGGTCGTGCCAAGTGGCCGACTGGAAATTCCGGCACTCCTTCATTTGCTGCCCTGAGTGAGGGGCTGTCAACTGGTAACCCGGTGCATGGTAACCCTATGTGTGGTAACGCTAGTAAGGCCTGCGTGCTGCCGGCCGGAGACGAGGGCGAGTGATGTCAGAAGCTGTGTGTGGTGTGGGCGGGCCAAGTACTGCACGCCGATCGGGCCAAGTGGCCGACTGGAAGTTCTGACATTCCTTCATCTGCTGCCCAGAGTAAAACACTTGGTTTGTGGGCCGCCTCCAGCGGGCTTGGACATTCATTTAATTTTCTCCCTGGAGTGACACTGTCAGCTTCAATTGCTGCATCCTTTGCCAGCTGCGCTTGCTGGTACCAAGGGTCAACGGGGAGCGCATACACAATGCGTGGTGGTTTACGGTAGAATTTTCTTCCAAGGGGGAAGCATGCTTGCCTATTTTTCAACCTACATTATGGCTTGCTCCTTGTTGCGCCACTTTCTCTTGTTCCAATGGGTTGTATGGTACATAGTATTTGGAAGCCATTCCTTACAGAAGTAATGTAACATACCAGATACACACACAACCCCCTTCTTCAATTAAAAAGTTACACTCCCTAAATGAGGTCGAGATTCTATGCAGTATTGTCTATAAAGTTACATGCATGTACCGAAGGTTTATTAGTGCATCCTCAACCTCCTCGTGTCGTCCACGTCGAAATTGATGGTTGATTGTCGAACGAGCACGTCAGCAAAAGAGCACATTTCGTATGGCGTCGTGGCGTGTCGTTTCTGTGTCAACTCTCGCCTCATTTCTGTGTCAGCCAGGGCTCAGGTTTAAAGAATAAATACCCGGAATAAAAAAAACATTAAAGCGAGGGTCTCAAGAAGCAAAAAAACAAACCCAAAAGGTTTTGGTTTCGGGGGGTCTCGAAAATTGCGAGGTGTGGTAAGGGGTGCTGGTTGGGCGCTGTAACTTTTTCGCAAAGTTCGTCAACCCAAAACCAGAACCTTTGGATTTTGTTTTCTGCTTCTTGAGACCCTCGCTTTAAGAGTAACTTTGGGCTGGATTCCGGAATTTGAACGGGTGATGCTTCCCTGGAACCCGAATTTATACAAGTGGGCGAGGGGCATTCTCCGGACGAATCAGAATTGCCCCGGGGAGCATTCCGGATGGTCCGTCACAAGGCAAGCCGTTCCCGGTGAACCGTCCTGTCATCCCAGCTACCCAATAGCATCTCTTCAAAACGCACACCGCCTCATCGCAGCCCATCCAATCGCACCCCTACCCCCCATCACTTGATTTCAATCCCCCCCCCACCTGTCCATACCATATTGATCCAAATCACTTGCACCGCATCGCAACCCATTCCACCTCAACTCACCGATCTCACGTGGTTGTCGGGACCAGCTACAATCAGCAAGCCACACGGTCAGCAGCACACAAACCAGGATTCAAGGATTCTAGTCGTGTGAGACTTGTCGATCCGTTCCTCGTCCAAACGGTGATCAATCCGTTACGTCAAGCCATGGACGCCCTCGCTTCGCGGCGAATTTGCCTCGCATTCTCAACGAACCGCCATTGTCGGCTTGCTCCGGCTGGCGCCTCGCGATGCGCGCTCAAGTGTCCTCTGCCGGCTGACATTCAGCAGCAGCGTCTCCGAGTCGCACGAGTCGTACGGCGGCGGTCGGTCGCAACGCGCGCCGAAGCGGCCGACCCGCGAATGTCGACCGTCGCTCCGAGGACGGTCCCTCCGTCGGATCGCATCACCCGTGAGTTCCACATAGTTGTAGATTCAGTTTCACTTAGAAATCAGTGCCGCTAAGAGACGCATGCTATGCTAGATTGGCCGCAGATTATGCGACTCGAGCACGTCGACCGTCGCTCCGAGGACGAGCCCTCCGTCGGATCGCGTCACTCGTGAGTTCGCATAGTAGATTCTGGCGCGCTTATAAACCAGTGCCGCTAAGAGACGCATACTATGCTAGATTGGTCGCAGAGTATGCGACTCGAGCACGGCGGCCGTCGCTCCGAGGCGGAGCCGTCCGTCGGATCGTGATCGCATCACCCGCGAAATTTGCTTTCGTCCTTAATGTACGTCGCATCGCCTCCAGGTAGATTCAATCAGCAAAAAGTTAAAGTTGCTGCTGTTGCTGCTGTCACCCGCTGAGGAGCCGCGGCGTCTGCTTTTGAGTCGACTCAAAAGCAGGCTCCTACGCCGGCTGCGGACACCCTTGCGCGTCAGCAAGCCATCCGCTGAGGAGCCGCGGCGTCTCCGTGGCATGCGTGAGCGGACATCTTTGCCTCTCTTCCTCTCTGCCTCCTCGTGTCTTCCCCCCACACCAACGGTCTAGCAGGCCGAGGGCCGTCTTGATATTTGCCGCGTGGGGAGCGGCACGTGGCAGAGCAGCAGCGGGGTGGGGAGCACGCAGAGCCAGCGCGTTGAAGACACCCCTCCTTCTCCCCTCTCTCGCCCTGTCCCCTCCGCCCCCTCCCCTCCCCCAATGACAACAGTCCAGTCTTGACATCTGCTGCGTGGGGAGCGGCATGTGGCAGAGCAGCAGCGGCGGGGCGTGGGGGAAGGGCTTTCTAGGAGCACTCAACCCTCTAACCTTGTTTGTACTCTTTTTGAGGCGCCTCAAAAATAGACTTTCTAGGAGCCCTCAACCCTCTTACCTTGTTTGAACTCTTCCTCTGCTCCTCTCCCTCTTCCAACCCCCAAGTTCCACCAGTCGAGCAGGCGGAGGACAGTCTTGACATCTGCCGCGTGGTGAACGGCATGTGGCAGAGCAGCAGCGGAGCGTGGGGCAGTGCCGCGCCTGACGCTGTTGTGGATGCCATGCTGCAACACGTGGATGCTGGCCTCACCACCTTCGACATGGCTGATATATGTGAGTGTGACGTCATGGGATGTGAGTGTGACGTCATGGGATGTGAGTGTAGAGGGATGCAGCAGACAGGGCATGTGTCGCCTCTCGAGGGTAGCAGGGCAGTGCTGCGCCTGATGCTCTTGTTGAAGCCATGCTTGAGGAGTCTATTTTTGAGACGCCTCAAAAATAGACCCCTCACGCATGGGTAGCAGGGCACTGCTGCGCCTGTCGCTGTTGTGGATGCCATGTTGCAACATGTCGATGCTGGCCTCACAACCTTCGGCATGGCGGACATATGTGAGTGGATGGGTCTAGGCTTGACCGACTTCAAGCACTTGATAAAACCTTCATCTGCATGTGGGTTCACGTGCACGTGTTTGTTCGGCCTCACGAGAGATCTTCAAACATGCACGTGTTTGTTCTTGAGAATTCTCAAACATCTCCACGTGGGGTTCACGTGCACGTGTTTGTTCGGCCTCACATTATTCCTTTGCGTCTCCATGTGCTCTCTGTCTGTCAACCCCCAGACGGCCCTGCAGCTGCGGAGATAGAAAATCCGTTTTGAGTCGACTCAAAACGAAATTACTATTGCACGCATGGCCGCACAACATTCGTTTGCGTCTCCACGTGCTCTCTGCCAGCCCCCAGACGGCCGTGTGGAAAGCTACCATGGGGCACTGATCGACAGACTGAGGAGGGAGAGAGGGCCAACAATGGACCGATGGTGAACCCTTGATGGCATACCACAACATATGGGCATCTCCCCCCCATTCTCTCTCTCTTCCTCTCAACCCCCAGACGGCCCTGCAGAGAGCTACTACGGCGCACTGATCGACAGACTGAGGAGGGAGAGAGGGCCAAAATGGACGGATGGTGAACCCTTGATGGCACACCGCAACATATGGGCATCCCCCCCCCATTCTCTCTCTCTTCCTCTCAACCCCCAGACGGCCCTGCAGAGAGCTACTACGGCGCACTGATCGACAGACTGAGGAGGGAGAGAGGGCCAAAATGGACGGATGGTGAACCCTTGATGGCACACCGCAACATATGGGCATCCCCCCCCCATTCTCTCTCTCTTCCTCTCAACCCCCAGACGGCCCTGCAGAGAGCTACTATGGCGCACTGATCGACAGACTGAGGAGGGAGAGAGGGCCAAAATGGACGGATGGTGAACCCTTGATGGCACACCGCAACATATGGGCATCCCCCCCCCATTCTCTCTCTCTTCCTCTCAACCCCCAGACGGCCCTGCAGAGAGCTACTACGGCGCACTGATCGACAGACTGAGGAGGGAGAGAGGGCCAAAATGGACGGATAGTGAACCCTTGATGGCACACCGCAACATATGGGCATCCCCCCCCCATTCTCTCTCTCTTCCTCTCAACCCCCAGACGGCCCTGCAGAGAGCTACTACGGCGCACTGATCGACAGACTGAGGAGGGAGAGAGGGCCAAAATGGACGGATAGTGAACCCTTGATGGCACACCGCAACATATGGGCATCCCCCCCCCATTCTCTCTCTCTTCCTCTCAACCCCCAGACGGCCCTGCAGAGAGCTACTACGGCGCACTGATCGACAGACTGAGGAGGGAGAGAGGCGAGGAGGCCGCGTTTGGAGTGCAAGGGTGAGTGTGTGTGAGGGGGGTGGAGAAGAGATTACAGACGCACCCGTTCGTAAGGAGCCTCACGAATCGGCTGCTGGTATAGGGGCATTTCTTTCTGATGGGTCCATTCCGTTCTGTGCCGGCTTCTCTCCCCCCCTCCCCCCCCCCCCGGTGCTCACTATTCTCATTCTATGTGCACTCTTGAGTCGACTCAAAAGTCACCTCATTCTATGTGCACTCACTCTCACTCTCGCTCTCTGATCTTCAATCCGCCCTCCCAGTCTCACCAAGCTCGTGCCAAGGCCCGATCGCATGACTCGAGATGTGGTGGAAGTGGCTATCAACCGCTCCCGCACGCGCATGCAAGTCAAGACCATCGACCTGCTGCAGTTCCACTGGTGAGATGAGGTGTGGAGATCGAATCAAACCAAATCGAATCTAAACAAATCAAATGAATTCAAGTCGAGTCAGTTCGATCAATCGCTCCCGCACGCGCATCATGCAAGTGAAGACCATCGACCTGCTGCGGTTCCACTGGTGAGAGATGCGAGAGGGAGGGAGAGTCATTTCCGGTCAGTGTGGGTCCCGGCCCAGGGCTCGCATTGTGGTGGAAGTGGCGATCAACTGTTCCCACACGTGCATGCAAGTGAAGACCATCGATCTGCCGCAGTGCAGCTCCACTGGCGAGTTGATGCCTGATGCGGTCGAGTGGCAGCAGCGATCAACCGCTCCTGAATGCGCAGCGCGTGGGAGTGAAGACCATCGATCTGCTGCAGCTCTGGTGAGAGGCGCGAGAGGGAGGGAGAGACATCGCCTATCACTGTGGGTCTGGGGTCCATGACTCGCGGCGTGGTCCGCCTGGTCTGCCTGGTCCGCCTGGTCCGCCTGGTCCGCCTGGTCCGCCTGGTCCGCCTGGTCCGGGGTCCATGACTCGCGGCGTGGTGTAACTGGCGATAAATCGCTCGCGCACTCTTGTCCTCCCATCCCCACCACCAGGTGGGACTATAACAACCCTGGCCACCTGAACGTGCCGAAACACCTCACAGAGCTGAAGGAGGAAGGCAGCATCAGGGCACTAACCTTGTCCCTTCTGCCTTCCCCTCTGCCTTCCCCTCTGCCTTCCCCTCTGCCTTCCCCTCTGCCTTCCCCTCTGCCTTCTCTTCTCATTTGCTCTCCCTTCCCCCCACCACCACCGCCATCACAACCAGGTGGGACTACAACAACTCCAGGTACCTGGACACGTTGAAGCACCTCACAGAGCTCAAGATAGAGGGCAGGATCAGGGCACCTGCTCTCAAGGCTTGTGGCCTGCTCTTCTCACCTGCTCCCCTTCTCCCCTCTCCTCCCCCTTCCAAAGCCCAGGTGGGATTACAACAATCCTGGCTACCTGGACGCGTTGAAGCACCTCACAGACCTCAAAGAGGAGGGGAAGATCAAGGCGATCGGCCTCACTAATTTCGACACGAAGCGGCTGCAAGTGATTCTGGAGAACGGCATTCCCATCGTCAGTAACCAGGTAACGTGAAACCCGCTTATTTCTATCGGTGTGTAATGAGTCGATTTTTGAGTCCGTGCGTAATGAGTCGATTTTTGAGTCGACTCAAAAAGTGATTCTGGAGAACGGCATTCCCATCGTCAGCAGCCAGGTAACGTGAAACCCATTTTTGAGGCGCCTCAAAAATAGCAACCAGGTAACCAGGTAACGTGAAACCCGCTTATTTCTATTGCATCAATGCGCCTATTATCTCAATTTATTTTGCCCTTTTCCTTATACCCCTCCGCTTTTTCTTGAACCCTAGGTGCAGCACAGTCTAAAAACATGCGACCACAGGAGCACATGGCTTCGAAGCCCCCAATAACCTTACCGTCCTTATCCCACCAACCCCTCCTTCCCTGGCTCTTAAACCCCAGGTGTAGCATAGTCTGGTTGACATGCGACCACAGCAGCACATGGCTCGACACGCCTTTTAAACGCCAGCAACCTTAAACCCCAACCCCGACCCCCTCCTCTCTTTAACAACAGGTTCAGCACAGTTTGGTGGACATGCGGCCACAGCAGCAGATGGCTCAGCTCTGTGCTCTTACAGGGGTGCAGCTTATAACGTGAGTAGTGGTGTACTGTCTGTATATGAGGTGTATGATTCTAAGGCTGGTGCGGCCACAGCAGTAGAATTTAACAAGGAGGGATGTGCAAACACAGCGGCAGCAAATGCCCAAGCTCGCTGCTCTTATTGAGTGCAGCTTGTAACATGAGTTATAACATGATTGAATGGTGCACTATGCACATGGGTCCATGCCTGGCTGGCTATGCACTATTGGAGTGCTTACGCATGGAACATAGGTGTGCAATATTATGAAAGTTGGCACAAAACACAGCATCAGAGAGCCATTTGAAAGACGCCCTCCTTTACTTCCCTTACCTCTGTTTCGCCTCTACCCTTTGCAGCTATGGCACTGTAATGAGTGGGCTCTTATCGGTGAAATACCTGAATGCCAAGCAGCCAACAACATGTTCATATCTCTCTATATCTCCCTTTATTTACCTCGCATACGGCACTGTAATGGGTGGGCTCTTATTGGAGAAATACCTGCACGCTAAGCAGCCAACAGCATGTTTCATATCTCTCTACATCTCCCTTTATTTACCTTTGCAAAACGCAGCTACGGCACTGTAATGGGCGGGCTTCTATCGGAGAAGTACCTGCACGCCAAGGAGCCCAACAGCATGTTTGGCCCCCGCCTTTCTACACCGTCCCTCAACAAATACAAGCAGGTGCGGCAGCATTCCTTTGAGTCGACTCAAAAGCTTCTCTCAGTGTGTTCTGAGTCGACTCAAAACACCCCTGGGCTTTCCACACCTTCTCTCAACCAACAAGCACAAGCAGGTGCAGCAGCATTCTCGTTTCTCAGTGTGTTTTGAGTCGACTCTAAACACCCCCGGGCTTTCCTGTCTCTCGACAAATACAAGCAGGTGCGGCAGCATTCTATTTTCTTCTTTAGGAAAGAGATTCTTCCCTCCTTGCCCTCTCTCTCCCTCCTTGCCCTCTCTCTCCCTCCTTGCCCTCTCTCTCCCTCCTTGCCCTCTCTCTCCCTCCTTGCCCTCTCTCTCCCTCCTTGCCCTCTCTCTCCCTCCTTGCCCTCTCTCTCCCTCCTTGCCCTCTCTCTCCCTCCTTGCCCTCTCTCTCCCTCCTTGCCCTCTCTCTCCCTCCTTGCCCTCTCTCTCCCTCCTTGCCCTCTCTCTCCCTCCTTGCCCTCTCTCTCCCTCCTTGCCCTCTCTCTCCCTCCTTGCCCTCTCTCTCCCTCCTTGCCCTCTCTCTCCCTCCTTGCCCTCTCTCTCCCTCCTTGCCCTCTCTCTCCCTCCTTGCCCTCTCTCTCCCTCCTTGCCCTCTCTCTCCCTCCTTGCCCTCTCTCTCCCTTGCCTTCTTCCAGTCCCCATTATGCTTCGCCCTCACCTCCTCCCATCACCAAGCTCAGTTCTGAGCTTCACAATGGGTTCTTCCACTTGCTTTTGCTTCCAATACCTGGCTCCCATCCACACAGGTGGTGGACGCATGGGGCGTTTTGAGTCGACTCAAAACGAAATTATTATGACTCAGAACGGGTTCTTCCACTTGGTTTTGCTTGCAATATATGGCTCTCACCCCCACAGATGATGGACGCATGGGGACGGCTGGGCGCTCTTCCAGGAGCTGCTGAGGGAGTGTGAGACGGCCTCCAGGAAACACGGGGTTACCATTGCTCCCCTTTCTCTCCTTCTCTCCCCCATGCCCCCTTCCCACTACCCAGATGGTGGACGCATGGGGCGGCTGGGCGCTCTTCCAGGAGCTGCTGAGGGAGTGTGAGGCGGGGTGCGTTTTTTGCCTCCCATCTCCCCAACCCCCCCCTTCTCCACATCCCCCCCCCACCCCACCTGCTTCTTACAGATGGTGGACGCGTGGGGCGGCTGGGCGCTCTTCCAGGAGCTCCTGAGGGAGTGTGAGACGGTCGCAAAGAAGCACGGGGTTACCATCTCTGCAGTGGCCGTGCGCTCCATTCTCGACCAGGTGATGAGCTGCGTGTGATAAGCAGATAGGCAGGGCTGTGATGAGCAGATACCCAGCAAGCACGGGGTTACCATCGCTGCAGTGGCCGTGCGCTCTATCCTCGACCAGGTGGGTGCCTGCGTGAAATAATCACTTAGGCAGGTGAGCACATGGTGTGTGCTCTATCCTCGACCAGGTGTGTGATACGCAGACAGCCAGCAAGCACGGAGTTACCATCGCCTGCAGTGGCCGTGCGCTCTATGGTAAGGAAGTCACTCCCGTCTAGGCTTTTTACCAGACTTGACTTATGATCGGTAACAGCGTATTTGACTCGTTCTTTTCTTTCTCACTGCCCCGTCAGCAGCAGCATGAATGGCAGAGGGGACTTTGCCCACACATGAGCTCGGGCTTGAATGCAACATGAGTGCAGCATAAAGAGGACTGTACCCACACATCGCGGTCAACAAGTTATTCTACATTGGTCTCTTCCCCCCTTCCTGCTCTTCCCCCTTTCCGTCAGTACCAGCATCATTGATTGGTGTGACCTAGCACCTGCAAGTGGACATAACAGTAGACCTATCTACCCTGTTCTCATTGCTCCCCTTCCCCACTCTTCCCCTGCCAAACCAGCCGTCAGTTGCGGCATCAATGATCGGTGTACGGCTGGGATTGCAGCAACACATCGCTGATAACAAGAAGATATTTGATCTTCAATTGGATGAGGAGGACCAGGCTCGGATCGCCAGCGTTACCAGCAGAGGTCGCGACCTCATTACTCTGATTGGCGACTGTGGGGATGAGTACAGATAGGGGAGTGTCTTGTTGCTCCTTGAATAAAACCACAAGGGGATCGCCAGCGTTACCAGCAGAGGCCGTGACCTCATATCCCTGATTGGTGACTGTGGGGATGAGTACCGATAGGAAAGTCTTAAAGCCTGTGGCTATAATAGCGATCAAGAGAGCTGTTTAATTTCCTCTTGAACTTGGCACATGACCTGATTTTTAGAGTAAACGAAACAGAAAAAAAACATTACTCTCAATAGAAGCACCGGTATTACTAGTGTTGGAAATATCTCAAGGACTTAAGCGTTTCTGAAGTGTAACACTGTACTCGAGGAAGATTACAGGGGAGCACGCGAGTCAACGGAGGTTACACGAGGGGGCGGACAAAGAATGCGAAAGGACTCGAAAGGTCGCAACTGGAGGTTACGACTGACCGTTACAACATCACGGATGGTAACCGAAGCGGCAATCGAGTCGCTGTGCGACTCGATAAACCGTTCCTGTAACTGTATTCTACAACTGCTTTCTTATCTTCTATATATTGCTGTATGCTTGTTTCTTTAATCAATCACTTGTTCTCACATACTAGTACAAGGGTTCAACTGTCTCAATTTCCGCTGCACTACTCCAAGTCTCAAGTCTCTACAAGCTGGGACTTAGTCTCTGCAAAAGATCCTAAGGGCTTTTCTCAGCCCAACATGGTATCAGAGCTGGTCAGAGACCAAACTCCCAGCAACTACGCTCCATCAACGACCTGCAACTCAACTTGATTCAACAACTCCATTGATTACAAGACATGGACAACAAGGGCAAGAAAGTCTCTACGGGCTCACCCAGCGCCCAAGAAACTCAACACGGCAACTCTGGTCTGCACACCTCAGGACTGCAGACAGAGACCGGGACTACTCTAGAAACAACGGGAAGAGTACCAGAGATGGTGACTCCGTCTCCCTCTTCAAGTGTGGACCCGAATCTCATGGAGAGATTCTTCAGCTTCATGTCACACTTCGACCAGCAGCAGCAGACAAGGACACCTGCGCACTCAACACAGAGCAATGGAGGGAATATGGGATTAGCGCCGATGAGCCTCGACAACTCATCCTTCGGGCGACACAACCAAGCGCCTACCTTTGCGCCTTATCATTCTTCGCCGGGGACGTTCGAATTCATGCCGCCCCGTGCCCAGCCAACAGCAGCTGCATCACAACAAACACCGAATGAAATCTTAAGTTTACAGGCGCAGTTCTCACACGTGATCAAACTTCAGACATCCTCACCGTTCAACGGACACGACTTCTTTACCTGGAGCTTCGAGTTCGAGCTGCTGATGGAGGCCGCGCATCTTCTGGGATACTTCAACGGGTCCCTGCCATTCCCAAGCAACGGCACTGGGAAGGAACAAGAGATCTTCACGTATCAGTCGCTGCTGGCGTACACGGTACTCCTGAGAAACCTGTCACCACAAGAGCAGCAGAGCATCAGAACGTATCGGAGTTATGGAAACTCCGCGGAGCTCGCATGGCACCACCTCAAGTGCCTTTACCAAGCAAACGACAGCGTGACACAAAGCAGACTCATGCAACAGCTGACAACAATACAGATGAAGACCGGGGAAAAGGCGATGCAGTATATGAGTCGCTGCCAGACCCTCCGCGACCGCCTGCTTCGGTGCGGAGGAACGATCACTGAAGAAAGCTTCGTAACACTTGTCCTCGCCGGGCTCGGGCCAGAATGGAGAACCACACGATCACTTCTTCGAGCCCACGGAAGAATTTCGGAGATGCACCTCTGCGCCGAGCTTCACGCTGAACAACAGGAGATGGATCTGTTCGAGGAAAGACAACCAAGGAAGCAACAGCAGTTAGTCTTCTACACTCAAAGAAGAAATGACAACAACTACAACCGACGCAGCAAGCAAGATCAACGCGACAACCGAGGACTCACCATCGTGCCGCCGTTCTGCCACAACTGTCAGACTTCCGGGCACTCCAAGGTCAACTGCAACCGCCCTCGCGTTTACCGTGCAGCAGACCCACAAGTCGCTTCCACTCAAGCAAGTCCTCCAAGGCGCTCTTCAACATCTGCACAACAAACACCCAACATCATCAACTGCATGGTACACATCGACAACTGCGCACCCGCTTCACCACCCACTTACGCACCAGACGAAGAGGAATTCCCGCCGCCGCGCTCGCAAGGACTTCAGGTCAACCCGACATACGCTGCAGTCGCTAACGCCGAACCCACCGGGCGGAACACCTGGTTCTTGGACAGTTGCTGCGGTCAGCACATGTGCTCCTCCGGACGCTTCGTACAACACGAGCGACGCCTCAACCGCGACGTCGTCATCACCGTCGCCAACAACGAAAACCTGAAAACAAACAGACAAGGCGTGGTTCAGTTACAATCAATGGAGACAAACGTTATTCTTCAGCTCAACAAAGTCCTCATCGTCGACAATCTGGGATACAACCTACTAAGCGTAAGCCAACTAATGGCTAAGGGGATTCACCTGGAGTGCGACTCCTTCTCCAACGAGTTCCGACTTTACCACGGGAAGGGCGGCCTCTTCATCGGTCGTGCCCTCCTGAAGTCCGGTGTCTTCGTGTTGGACTTCGTCCCCGACCGCGGAACTGCCGACAGCGATGGCATCGTATCGTTCGCCGCCTGGACTCACCCGCCGGATCTTGATCCCGACTTCGACAGTGACGGCTTCTGGCACTCCAACACCATACCTGCAGCAGAGAGAACACGAGCATTAGCAGTTATCAGACAAGAAAGACAAGTACCCGCAAGTGTCCCAACAAAACCATCACCTGCAGTATCGGCAGCAGGACCCAGCCGAGTACCACCACCATCAACACGAGGACCGCCAACGGAAGCAGACCAACTTATGCCCGCCACACGAGAAGCTTGTCGAAGTCCCGCCTCGGTCGTCGCGTTCTTCTCCAACGCCGACATCTACCACCGCTCGCCCGGTCACCGTGCTCCCGACGACATCTGGCACCAACGCCTCGGACACCCTGCAAACAGCACAATACTTCAAACAATCCAAGCAGAGGTGTTAGAACGTAACGCCCTTCTAACGACGAGCGGCCAAGAACTTCGCCGACCAAGAGCACGATGCTTCACGTGCCCCGAAGCAGATCTTCCTCATCAACCCTTCCCATCCCATCATAATCCAAGCGCGCCTGCATATGCAACGATGGAAAAAGTCTACAGCGACATCTTGAACATGCCTCGAGACGACACGGAAGCCGACTTCAACTACGTCATCACCTTCGTCGATGCAGCAACAAGATACACTTGGCATTACAACCTCAAGACGCGCGATCAAGCCTTCGACGCCTTCACAACATGGCTCCCCATCGCCGAGCGGGAATCAGGAACCAAGCTCAAAAGCTTCCAGTCAGACGGTGCCCTAGAATACCAGTCACAACGCTTCAGGACCTATCTGGCGGAAAGAGGAATCAAGCGCCTGGTGTCCCTACCATACGCTCACCAGCAGCAGGGGGTCGCCGAACGCATGAACCGGACCTTGCAGACGACGATGCGAAAGCTGCTCCTGGGGATGAGACTGCCCAATACACTGTGGCCAGACGCGATGACACATGCAGTCCACCTGCACAACCTGTTGTCCTCGTCATCGCTCCCCAACAACGCATCACCGCACCTGCTGTGGACGGGAAAAAGGGGCAGCACAAAATTACTTCGAGTTTTCGGCTGCATGGTACAATACAGACCCCACACAGCTCGAGCAGGACGCTTCACTCAACGAGCTCGGTGGGGACTACACCTCGGCATCGCCAAACATTTTCACGCGTGGAAGATTCTCGACATACACGACAAAAATACGGTGGCATCACGTGATGTTATCTTCTACGAGCGACTGACGCTGCAGCATTACCTGGACAACATTGCCAACTCAGACGACCCCACCGACGGCTTCGCGGGCCTTCGCTCCTTCGCTGACCATGCTGCCGAAGCTGACGCAGCAGAAGAAGACGTCCCTGGAGCCTCGGAGGCTGCCGGACCACTCCCCTACTGCTCCGTACCTGTTCCACTCGATGAAGATAATCCCCTCGATAGCAACAACCTCGACACCTTTTACCACTTCGCTGACCAAGGCTACGCTACACCACACCCCGTCGACTCGAATATTTCCGAACGCATCGGGCCAAACTTCTTACCCGATCCTGAAGACGGTGATGAAGCAGCTTATCCCGAGAATGAAAACTCCCCTCGACACACAGCCACGGGACTGCAGATCCTAGGACTATGGGTCTCCGTCCAGCACCCGCCGCCGCCTTCTCCGCGCGAGCCGTCGACCCTGTCGCAGGCTCTGGGGGGGGAACATAAGGCACAATGGAAGGAAGCGATGGAAAAAGAGTTAAAAGCTCTGCAAGACCGAGAAACATGGAAACTGGTACCTGCAACGAGCATCAACGGGAAGAACATTCTCTCGGGGAAATGGGTGTACCGCATCAAGACCAACTCAGACGGCTCCATCGAACGATTCAAAGCTCGATGGGTCGTACGAGGCTTCGATCAACGATACGGAACCGACTACACAGAAACCTTCGCTCCAGTCTCCCGTCACACCTCCCTGCGCATCCTACTCGCCATCGCGGCCACGAAGAAACTACCACTACGGCAAATCGACGTTGCAAACGCCTTCTTGTACGCACCTGTGGACGCCGAAATCTTCGTCGAACAACCCCACGGATTCATCGACGACCCTTCAAAAGTATGCCAGCTGGAAAAATCCCTTTACGGGATCAAGCAAGCCCCACGGCTCTGGCAGCAGCACCTTCACGGCCGGCTCGTAAAAATCGGATTCCTACAGTTACCACATGACCAAGGCATGTACCGACTACAGAAGGGAAGAGATTACATTCTGCTCATCGTCTACGTCGACGACCTGCTCTACATCGGTTCTACCACCGACATCGTCACCTGGTTCGAAGGGGAGCTGAAAAGGGACCTAACGCTCACGGTGTCCGACGAGGTGACGCAGTACCTAGGACTGAACGTCGTCGAAGACGACACGGCGTTCTACCTACACGCTGGAAAGTACTCAAGCACCGTCGCGAAGAAATTCGGTCTAACACCGACTGCGGTCCCAACTCCCTACCGCTACGGGAACAACAGTAGCGCCTCCACAAAACTCCCCGCGAAACAAATCCAGGAGTATCAACAGAAGCTCGGCTGCCTACTATTCGCAACAGTAACCTGCCGACCCGACCTATCCTATAGTGCGAGTCAGCTGGCGACA